ACCAAACACTCACCAGGATCGAACAATCTAAAACGAAGGAGGGACATTCTGTAGGTGTGAGCAGAGTAGTGATTGGCACATGGGCTTGGCAGAGAGTTCAAATCCTGGCTCTGCTTCTTGGTAGCTGTGTGATTTTAAGCCAGTGGCTTAACTACTCTGAGCCTCACTTTTTCACCTGTAAAATGAGGATGCTATCACTCACTCACCTGGGAGTAGGATTGTGAAGATTCAAGCAAATGGTGAAGGTATGGGATTTTGCACATAGTAGATGCTCAAGAAATGTTAGTCATCATTGCTGGAGAAACTATATAGTCTAGGGGAAGCAGGAAGGGGGGGCGGTTTACCATTCTGCAAGTGCTTACAGTGTGGCAGAGACTGTCACAGGTGCTTAAACTCACCAGATCAGTGACACCAAGATTCTGTGGGTCCTGGGCAGAATCCTATATAATTTATCGGACACGTGCATCTCTCCTTTTGCTCCTGGTATCCAGTGGTTGGTTTCCCTCTGCTGCTCCTGCCCCGGGACTGCGGGGTTCCTGTCCACTGTGCTGATGGCTTCTCTGTAGCACACAGTAGGAGAGGCAGGGGCCATTGGAAAATGTCAGAGGCTTGCCATGTCCATTAACTCCCCCTCAAACCTGACATTATGGCTGCACTGCAGGGGAGCATTGTCTGCAGGCAGCTGGGAGAACGTCTTAGGATCGCCTCCTCTCAGGTTGGAAGGTGGTTAAGCGGCTCGCCCGGGATGATGAATTCAGAGCCCTGCTGTCCTAAAATTCTCCCTTCTACTCCCACATGAGGTTGAGTTCTCTGAAAGCAGAACCAGCGATGGGATTTCTAGGACTAGCGATGACTCAGGGACACAGTGTAGGGCAGTGGGGGATGTGGCTTCATCTGGAGTCTGGCCTCTGCCCGATCGCACAGGGAGCTCTGGAGCTATTGGCACACAGAGCTGTCCCACCTGGACCCAAGGAGGCTGTGCGTTTATGTCCCCACCTTGTCCGTTATTCACTGGCTTTGGGCTGCACCTCGGGCAAGTGTCGCCTCCTGTATCTCTGGGCAAGGCAGCTGCTTTTCTTGGCTGAGGTCAGTTCTCTGGAAAATGGTGCTGCCCTGAGCTGTTGGCTGCTAACACTCCTAGAGGTGTGTGTGTGTGTGTGTGTGTGTGTGTGTGTGTGTGTGTGGCCGGGGGGGTGTGGACGCCCCTCCTGTAAAGGACATCGGCAGTGCCTGCCATCCCACTCCCCTCCCGGCCCCCCCAGTGAGGGCCTGCCTGCAGACACATGACCTCTTTTCTCTGGGCTCGACCCTCGGCTGTTCAATGCCTCGATGCCTCAGGCATCCCCTCTCCTGGCCCAGGCCCAGCTGACCAGGGCACGCACTGGACAAGGAGTCCAGTCCTGAGACGTGAAGTGCTTTGAGAGCCCTGGATGGCAAAGTTGAAACAATGGTACTGTCCGGGCTGGCTTCTGGCCTGGAGGATGGAGCTGGGTAGTTTCCACGGGGCTGACAGCCAGGGCTCTCGCGCTTTGCGGGCAGAATTTTAATAGGAAATGAACTCCTGGTGCGCATGACTGAATGCTGGGAGGGGGGGAGCCAGGTTCCACCTTTAGGGCAAGAGAATTTGGAGATCAGAGTTCACGGGGTGGGGGGGGCGCTGTGTAAGCCTTGCCCTAGCCCTCCCTGTTTCCTGGGACCTCTCCACCCCCCACCCCCCCAGGGCAGTGCTTCATCTCTGCTGCAAAGCAGAAAGCAGGGTATTCAAGTAAGCATTCCAAGTCCAGTCCAGAGGCAGCAAACTGGACCCGTTACCTGGATCCGAGGCTCTGAGCACCCAGCAGGGTCCAGGGGTCCCCGGGACCCAGGGTGGCCTCGCTTGGCTCCTGCCACAGGCAAAAATGAGACATTAAGTTTCTTTTCAGCACATTTCCTCTGCACCAGGAGCCATCTCTCCTTTCTTTCTTTTTCCCAAGTGGAAGCAGTGAAATGGTCCTATGAGTCTGGGGAGATTATGTCAACCACAGGGGAGCAGATGAAATGGCTTTTCCGTAAGAGGCCTCCCTCCTCCGTGTCCAGGCTTCAGCCCACTGGCAGATTTAATTATCCCACCAGCTACAGGAGAGGAGAGAGAGTTCACCCACCCAGCTTCTCAACTAATCAGTCCCAGGAAACGAGGCCATGTTGTACCAAGACCTTCAGGGAAATCAGGACCCACTGGACACAGTGATCCTCTTTCTAAAGTTGTTTTTTGTTTTTTTAAATTGAATGTAATCTCTGTGGTCTCTCCCCCTTTACTCTTTGGCTAGACCCTGCGGGTGGGGCAAGGTGGGAAGCTCCACAGAGGACAGAAGCCTGGCTGAGTTCAGCTGGACTGCCTTCGTGTTCAAGGAGACTCATGCATGCATTCAACAAATATTTAGTAAGCGCCTTCTGTGTGCCAGGTGCTATGTGAGGTGTTAGAGATTAGGAGAGAATAGAACAGAATAAGTCCTGCGAGGGGCTTACATTTTAGAGATAAGACATACAAACTCTAAGCAAATCAACAAGACCTATGATACATTTGGGAAGGGATATGAGCTCTGAAGAAAAGGAAATCAGAGTGAAAGAAGCCAGAGCGGAGGACCTGGAGGAGGAGATCTTTTAATTGGAGCAGTCAGGGAGGGCCCTTTGAGGAGGTGACGTTTGAGAATAGACCTGAACAAGGGAGGAGAATGAACCAAGCAAACATCTGCAGGTGAGTTCCAGGCAGATGGGAGGGCAAGGAGGTGGGGTGTTGGAGGAAGCCCAGGGAGGCCTATGGGGCTGAGTAGGGAACAAGAGGAGAGTGGCAGATAGGGTTAGAGAAGGAGGTCATGAGGACCCAAAATCATGCTAAGGAGTTGAGACCTTGTTCTGGGAGCAATAGGGAGCCATTGAAGACATTTGAGCAGAAGAGTGACATGGGCTGATTTATTTTATTTTGGGTGAAGAAAGGGACATAAAGTACACACCTGGCTTTTGCAGATGTACATAACACCCAGTTGAAGATACAGAACATTTCTGCCCTGCAGAGTTCCCCTTCTGCCCCTTCCCAACCAGTACCCTCGGTATCCCAGAGTTAGCCACGGATTTGCTGATTTCTACAACCATCAAATAGCTTTGTCTGTCCTTAACCTTCATGTAAATGTGATCAAATAGTGTGTCCTCGTTTGCCGCTGGTTTCTTCCATAAAACATCGTGTCTGTGAGATTCGTCCCCCATTGTCACGTACATTAGGAGATTGTCTTTTACTGTGGGCCAGTATTTTACTGTGTGAGTAGACCACCTTTATCTATCTGCTCTCCTGCTGATGGGCACTTGGATGATTTCTAATTAGCTGTACGGATAAAGAGGTTATGAACATTCTTGTGCGTGTTTTAGAACATGAGCATTTTCCCCTTAGGTTTATGCCTGAGAGTAAAATTCGTGAGCTGTAGGGTCGGTGAATGTTTATAGCTCTAACGAGCCTGCCAGTTTTCCAGAGTGTCATCTCCCTCTCCCGACTTCACTGAGATAAAATTCACATACCATACAATTCACCCATTTAAAGTAGGCAATTTAGGGGACGCCTGGGGTGGCTCACTCGGTTAAGCATCCGCCTTCAGCTCAGGTCATGACCCCAGGGTACTGGGATCGAGTCCCGCATCTGGCTCCATGCTCTGCGGGGAGCCTGCTTCTCCCTCTGCCTGCCACTCCCCGGGCTTGTGCTCTCTCTCTCCCTCTCTAACAAATAAATAAATAAGAGCTTGGAAAAAATAGGCATTTTAGTGGCTTTTAGTATATACATAGAGTTGTACAACCATGATAATAGTGAATTTTAGAACATTCTCGTTCTCCAAAGAATCCCCGTACCACATAGCCTTCATCTTCAGCCCTTCTGCCCTCCCCCAGCCTCTGGCAATCAGAATCTATTTTCTGTCTCTCTGGATTCACCTGTTCTGCACATTTCTTATAGAGGAAATCATACACCATGTGGCCTCTTGTGTCTGGCGTCTTTCTCTCGGTATCATGGTTTGGAGTTTCCTCCACGCGGCAGGTGTGAACGCTTCCTTCCTCTCTAGGGCTGGATGACATTCCATTGCGTGGACAGACGCCTCTTGTTTGTCCGTTCAGCAGCTGGTGAATACTGAGTCTTTTCTACCTTTTGGCTATTGTGAATAACGCTGTGATGAGCATTTGCGTACAGGGTTTCACGTGGGTGTGTGTTTTCATTTCTCTTAGGTGGGTAAGATACTTAGGCGTGGAGTTGCTGGGTCATATGGTAGCTCTGCGTTTCACTGTGGCTATGCCGTTTTTTACAAGCTGTGACTTAAGTGTGTGGACATCCTACAGGCATCTGCGTGGAGCGTGGACTGAAGAAGGCCAAGGGTAGAGGCAGGGGACCTGCTTCTACCCTTCGTAGTCTACTGCAGTAAGCCAGACACAGATAGCCTGGTGCGGATCAGCACAGTAACCGGCCAGGCAGAGAGCAGTGGGCAGATTCTGGGTCTTATTATGAAGCCAGGCGGACCTGATTTTCTCATGACTTGGTGTTAAAATATTAAAAAAAAAAAAAAAAAAAAAAAAAAAAAAGCCAGGATTGACTCCAGGATTTCGGATCACAAATCTGGCCAAGCCAAGTGCATGGGCAAACGAGTCCAATGACTTCCGCCAGTAGGAAGACCCTGGGTTGGAATTAAAAATTCCGATGACCCCCCCTCCCCCGCTGAGTTAGTCAAGGAGAAGAATGTGCATTTAAGGAAGAAGGCTCTCCCTGATCATTTCTGCCACTAGGGAAGGTGTGGCATCCAGCAGGAAGTCTTCCCCTTGGGGCCTCAGTTTTCCCCATCTGGGAAATGGAGAAGCTGGGCAAAGTTCCCTTTCTTTTCTGCATCCTGCAGAGTACTTGGCATAGAGTAAGGACTTGAGAAATGTAGAGCAGCTGCATAACTGGGTGATGTCCTCTCTGTGTTCCTATTTTCCAGGAGCACCGAACTCCCGCCATGACTGACACTGTATTCAGCAACAGCTCTAGCCGTTGGATGTGTCCTAGCGACCGACCGCTGCAGTCAAAGTAAGTCGTCGCGTCTTCCGGGGCATGGCTTGTGTGGGGTCAGCGAGGGAGAAAGGAGTCCCAAAGAAACAAATAGAATTTCCTTCCCTGAGGTGGGAAGAAATGAATCCAGTGAGGGTATTGTTACACAAACTTCACTTTTACTGCTTTGCAAGTTTGGAATAATGAACAAATTCTGAACTGCACGCCCCAGAGTAGAGGCGGCGGGAAGAGCATGGACCCGGTGCTTAGAACCAGGCTCTGTTCTGCTTCTAGACCTGAGCTTTTTTCCTGTGTGATCAGAGGCGAAGCTTTGCCCCTCTCTGGCCCTCAGTTTTCTTATCAGTCACATTAGAAAGTTGGATCAGGTCACAGGGTGCAGACTGGCAGGCCACCGGCTGACTCAGAAGTGTTTTCGTGCTATTTGTTTTTGGCCTCATGATTTAAAAATCGGGAAATGTGACACGAGGGTGACGTCACATTCTGTATCCAAGGATTATTATACCCAAATCAGTGATGCCTCAGATCCGTACCACCCTGGCTTATGAGGGCTGATCAATTTTCAGGCATTTTGCAAGCTGATTATCAAACACAACCATTCTGAAAAATTGAGTTTGTAATTCTGCAGTTAAACAATGTTCAACACAAAGAATGTAAAGACTCAAAATTAATCGCTTAATTATGTTACGACATTTTGTTATTCTCTGTGTTATGTTATATACCCGTGTGTATAATGATACGCTGCCGTGCCTTTCTTCCCAGTTTTGCATCCAGTGGGGTTTTGTCCCCACTGTTAAATTGCCACTGACTGTTGGACAATCTAAGGCTGTTGTTGATCGTTCCTGCAGATTTTCACTCAAAATGGCTTGTTTCTTTGAATGCTGGCTAATTTTTTATTGTGCACTCAATCTGCGAGAATCCTGGGGAATCTCCTTTGGGGATGTTTTTCTTCAGAGGGATTGACACTCTTGCTCCTGCTGGGAGTCAGGGGTACTGCTCCCCAACAATGATGTTAACCTCCCCCCGCCCCACCCAGGAACCCCCAGAGGGTCCTGGCTCCATGTCAGGGTCTCAGATTGAGCTTCTCTGCCCATGAGGAGCTGAGGTCAGACTTTGGAACAGCAGTGCTGGTGTTTGCCTCGACTTCCTGCTCACAGCTCACTGTCCTGGATTCCGTTTGCTTGGTCTTCTTTTTCTTTTTCAAAAAATTGCCTTTATAAAGGTATACATGCATACCTTCGACAGTACACAGTGAAAGTACAATTTGGTCATTGTAAAAAAATTACTCATGAAGCTGTCACAGTAGTCAAGCGAATGAACAAATCCATCCATCCCAGAAGCCTCCTTGTGCCTCTTCCTCCATCTCCTCCCCACCCATCTCTAGGTAATTGCTCATCTGTAACTATATACATTATAATAACTGCACGTTAGTTTGCCTTTTCCAGAATGTCCTACAAATGGCATCGTAGAGCGTGAACTCTTTTTCTGGGAAGAGATGTCTCTCTTCTTTCCTCTCAGCACAGTTTATTTCATGAGCCATCCTTATTGTTCCAGAATGTCCAGACTATTCTGTGTAGCCATAGTCTATTCCTTTGTACGACTGAATTGCATTTTGTTGTGTAGATATACCACAATCTGTTTATCTGTCTGTCTACCGAGGAACACTGGGCTGTTTCTAGTCTGGGTTGGGTGCAAATAAAATGTCTTCTAGAGGGATGCCTGGGTGGCTCAGTCGGTTAGGCGTCTGCCTTCAGCTCAGGTCATGATCCCAGGGTCCTGGGATGGAGCCCTGCATCCGGCTCCCTGCTCAACAGGGAGACAGCTTCTCCCTCTGCCCTTCCCCACTCTCATGCTCTCTTTCTCTCTCAAATAAATAAATAAAATCTTAAAAAAAAAAACAAACTCCTATAGAGATGCTGTCCTCTCTCTTGGGTAATTACTTGGGAGCAGACTGTCCCTACTTACTGGATTCGTCACTAAGCGGCCAGACCGTATTCCAAGTTGGTTGTACCATTTTATGTTCCCACCATCAGGCGTGGGAGAGAGTTCTAGGCTTCTCTGCCATCTCCCCAGCTCTGGAGATGACCAGTCTTTCCAGTGTTAACTCTTCCAGTGTGTGTGCCTTTCTCTGTGGTTTTCACTCGCATTTCCCTATTGACTAATGATGCTGAACGTCTTAGGTAATGTTCCCCCTCCCTCTAACCTCTGTTGAAATGTCTGTTTAAATGCTCATTTTTAAGATCAGGTCAATTACTTTCTTGTTGAATTTTATAGGTTCTTTTTTTCATATGTTACGGATAAATGTCCTTTTTGGAACCACATTTTGCACTTATTTTCTCTCAGTCTGTGATGTGCATTTTCTTTCTCATAACAGAATCTTTTGAAGAGGAAACATTTTTATTTTGACAAAGTCTATTTTGTTTATTTGTTTTGCCAGAGGAGGCGGTGTTGGAACATTCCCTTACTTTCTAGCAATCCCAGAACTGCATTAAAAAAGGGTCTGCTCTGGGGTGCTGGGGTGGCTCAGTGGGTTGAGCCTCTGCCTTCAGCTCAGGTCATAATCTCAGGGTCCTGGGATAGAGCTGAGAGCCTGCTTCCCCCTTTCTCTCTGCCTGCCTCTCTGCCTACTTGTGATCTCTCTCTCTGTCAAATAAATAAATAAAATCTTTTAAAAAAGTGTCTGCTCTGGGGTGCTGGGGTTGCTCAGTCAGTTGGGTGTCCAACTCTGGGTTTCAGCTCTTGTCACTATCTTCGGGTCATGAGATTGAGCCCTGCATCTAGCTCCGTGCTCAGCCCAGGGTCTGCTGGGAAATCTCTGTCCCTCTTCCTCTTTCCCTTCTGCTCAAACGCTTTCTATCTCTCAAATACATAAATCTTTTTAAAAAGAGGTTCTGCCCTAATTTATCTAGGACCTAATTATATATTGGCGAAGGGCCTTTCTGAATATTTTAGTCAGCCCATATTCTCTGAAGCAAAAGCCCCTGTCCACTTCCTTCTATCTAAAACCTCCAGTTCTACAAGTTTTATAATTTTGAAGACACCAGGGAACTCTGTTGGTTTCCTTGTCAACAGGAAACTTCTAGTCCACCAAGCCCCTCCCATGGTGTCCTCTTGGAGCCAAACTTACTTTGCAGAGAATATTCCATCAGCCAAAAATTGTGTCTCTGTAAGATAAACAGTTACCTGAAGGGTGGAGTGGGGTTAAATATTTATTTTATTTAAGAAATGTCAGTTAATTAAAATACCATCCATCAGAGTTTACTTTAGTCAGTAGGAAGCCAACAATCTGCTCTACAATTAAATTAGAACTATTCCAGCAGTCTGGATACAGTTTCATTAAAGTGCTCCTGGGCTCCTGTGAGACATCTTGCATTCTACGTGCATCGGGCTGCCTTGGGCCTGTGTCTCCTCCAGATATTAACATTATTTTTCAAATAAATGCTAATGGGTGAATTACAGTCATCACACAGGCAAGCTCGTCTGCTGTAGCCCGATGCGGCCCCTTCCGATGCCTTTCTCCAGTGAATTAAGAAATCACCTCTTAATTAACTGCTGGCTAGCCAGAGACATTTACTATTTTTGTGACTTTTCAGTTGCCTTCATGATTTTCAAATACCTTCCTCTCTCAGCCTCCTGGAATCTAATGAGGGTGTTTGAAACACCGTCGTTGTCATTGTGTTTGAAAGCTGGGAACACACCTGCTTCGTGCTTGGGGCGGGTGGTGGCCCGGCTCCCTGTGTTGGGAATGCTTGGGGTACTGGAGGTTGGCTTTCTGGCCATGCTGCCGTTAGGTGAGTTCTTTTTGGTACCAAAATCCATTATTTGGAACATCAGTGAGGAGCTCAGCTAATTAATAAGCTGAACTGATTGGTCATTTTAATCGAAGCTGAGCATTTTACAGCCCAGCATTGCAGCCAGCCATTTTTGGACGTGCCAAATGAGAAGATAATGACTGGGCTGGGGGCGGACCAAACCAAACCACTGCACTTTACCCTCTGTGGTTGTTACATCCAGACCGTGTTGGCATTGTTAGGAGATTTCTTTCCTAACTTTATTTATTTTCTCTCTCTCCTTTCTTTGCCTTCCTTCAGTGATAAAGAACAGTAAGTATTTTGATACTTTAATTTTTCTACAAATTGAGTTTTATCTTTTTTTCTGATCAAATTAACTTTGCCCCTAAAGAGAGCTGATTAAAAAAAAAAAAAAAAAAAGAACTGGCAAATTTTACATAACTAAAAAACAAAAAAACAAAACAAAACAAAACCCAAAACCAAGTTTCTTGAGGGAAAAAATTATGAAGTTTCAAAAAAACGATCTTGGTAAAAGGATGGAACAAATTCCTTAAGAGTTTGTTCCTTAGGAGCTCTCCGTTTTCTCCTTGTTAGTCATCTGTGGGATTCCAGCAAATTTATTGACCACTCTGTGCCCCCTCTGCAGCATTTGCCTGGGAACAATGTTCTCAGATAAAGACAGTGTTGGCTCACATAACTGCTATCATTAATAAAAGGTGATGAGGAACAGAACAGAGCCTGTGGGCAGTTACATGCCACACATATGGCCCCTGTCACCTCACGGGAGCTCAGCCTGGTTTCTCAGCGAAGTGCTTTTGATGCAGAGGTCCTGTCTTTGCTTGCAACGTTTGCGTTTTAAATTGGATTTATTTCCTCAATATCCATGACAGATTGAATGCTGGGTCCAATAAATGAACAGTCAGGCTGCAAAGGAGACCAGGCTTTGGCTGTATGTGCACATTGAGAAGCTCTGGAAAGCCGTTTTTACCTTCCCTAAGATGGGGAAGTTATCACAGAGGCAGTGGCAGAGGACCCGGCCTGGCATCAGAAAACCCAGGTCTGAGTCCTGCTCTGGTACTCAGTTTCAGAGTGGCCTTGAGCCATGCCCTTCACCTCCTTGCTTCCCGGCTCCCTCCTTTGTAAAGTGGGTCTGATTACCCTGCTCCTCTTCCCTCTGAGGGTCGGATCAAATGAGCTGTACAGGAAAGCTTTGTAAACTGGAAACCACCAAGCAAAGTCAGAGAGATGTATGAATTACAACCTTTCCTGACCTTTGTGTATATATACATGGTGTGTTTACACATATGCATACACATGTACACATGCACACACACACACACACACACGTATATATACCTTGCATTGTAATATATATATTATATTTATACCTGTATATACCATACATCTGGATATTATATATATACACATATACATGTATATATCTAGCATTGGCATAATTTCAGCTCTTTTGGACCCAAGTGACCACATCATCAGGCCCAGAATCCTTAAAGGTTTTCTTAATGCTGATAAACATTTAAATAGGTGAACCAGGGAAATTCTTTCCCCAACTCCGACCCTCCCTCCCTATCTGTCCATTGCGGGCTTTGGACAAGCTGATCACTAAAGACCATTTGAATGTTCTGCAGTTTCTGTTGTTGGCTGGTAAGACCCTGGCCAGATGAGATCAGCTTTTTATGAATGTCATGAGTATATTATTCAGACATCCAGGGAGAGATGCTGAGACGTTGGTAGGTCATAAATACGGACATCCCCAGAGAGAGAAATTCTGGACTCCAGAGGGTGCCAAGGCTCTTGGAGGCTCCCTGAGGGCTGAAAGTCGAAAGGTAGGGTGTATGTTCATTCTCTTTCCCTTCTTCCTTCACCCTTCCCTCTTCCCTCCCTCCCTCCATTAACAAATACTCACCAAGTGCCTACCAAGTACCAGACACTGTGGTAAGCCCCAGGGATACAGCGATAGCCAGAGTAAGAGTATGTATCTTGTGGGGTCTACCAACAAATAAATGGCCAGTTGGCAACAAATACACAAGTGTGCAAGGAGGTACAATAGCAGAATCACAGTGGGCCATGGGAACACAAGGAGAGGCACCCAGCACAGACTTGGCAGTCATGATGGGAGAGTTCCTGGAAGAAGTGACATGTAAACTGAGACCAGGCAGCAGGGGAGCAAGATGGAGAAGAGATAGAGGAGTTCCAGGTAGGGGAACAGCAGGTGCAAAGTCCAAATAAGAGAGGAAGTGTGGAAATTTAGAGGAAGTGAATAGATCTCAGTCTAACTTAAAAGATTAGCAGGAGCCATGAGATCCCCTTTAGCATTCTAAAGGGGGTGGGGAGCCACAGCATCCCTTCTGCACCCCCTTTAGTCTTCTAGGGGTAAATTTCATCCAATAGGGCCTTTATGCCAGCAGGGCGTATGTAAACTGTTTTGTGGTGAAGCAGCCTCTCCTTCCCCATCCTTTCCTCCTGGATTCATTAAAACCTCATTCTCTGAGCTGGAAAGTGACTTCCTGCTGACACCTGCCTCTATTGGCATCCTGGGGAGAAGGGGGGTGGAGAAGAAGAAAGGAAAGAAAAAGGATTAATTTTCTACACACTGCTGCTATTTAATGCTTCAGAGCCTTTGTGCCCCGACAGCCCTTCCATCATCCCACTCTTTTTGGGAATTATAATTTATTAATAGAGACATCTGGTGGGTACTTATTCTGTGACTATTGTGTGTGTGAAATGAAGAATGGAGGTGGGAGGCCAAAGGGAGGAGGGAGTTTGGTCTTTGCAGGATTTTAGGGAGTGACAGGTGTCACTCAGGGGCTGCCACCAAGAATCAGGCCAGGTTTCCTTCCTTGCTTTGGGGGCTGTGGCTATTGACTGTGGGGCGAGAGCTCCTTCGGACCTTCTCCAGACTCACCTGGGTGGGTGCATTCAGGTGGCCAACGAGGCATGCCAGGATGCCAGTTTCTTGAGTTTCTGTGTCACACGTGCTACTCAGCAAGTCCCTGGTCTCCTTGGAGCATCAGTCAGCTGGAAAATGAGCTGGTCAGCTGCAGTGATCTTCAAACTTTCTGTTAGCCGTGAAACTCTTTCTTTGGATAAACTTAATTCAGAAGCTAAATATGTAAGACAGATGAGAGGAGAACCTTTAGTGGCTGAAAGCACTCATCATAGGGTAGTGACATTCATGCAACTGGTCATTTCAAATAATACCAAACCATAAAATAAATATAGTGGCTCTAACAGGCTTCGCTTTAGTGTGCAGTCGCCATAGCGGAGAGTGTATCAGTTAGCTTTTGCTGTGTGACAAGCCATCTTAAAACTGAGAAGCATAGAACCATAGTTATTTATTCCCAGGGTTCTGGGCATGGCTGGTGGCCCTGCTGGTCTTGCCTCGGCTTGCTTATGCATCAGAGGGTTGGCTGATCTAGGACGGCCCTGGCTGCAATGGCTCAGCTCTGTTCCACATGCTTCTCATCCTCCAGCACTCTGTCCTGGGCTTGCCGTGCTCACGGCAGAGGTGTAAGGGAGGAAGCAGAAACGCAGGAGACTTGCGCAGGCTCAGCTTCAGCAGAGGGGCACAACATCGCTCCCCGGCATTTTATTGGCTGCAGCAAGTTGTAAGTCTGGGAAGGATTCACTGGCAGAGGAATAGACTAAATGTTTGGTGAGAGTGAGTTGAAATTCACATGGCAAAGAGCATGGATATTTGGGAGGGTGAAGTATTGAGGTCATCAATGCAATAAACCATATTTAATGCTTTATTAAACATCAAGTTCTTTAAAATTTCTTCTACTTCTTCTTCTTCTTCTTCTTCTTCTCCTTCTCCTCTTCTTTCCCTTCCTCCCCCTCCCCCTCTTCCTTCTCCCCCTCCTTCTTCTCCTCCCCCTCCTTCTTCTCCTTCTTCTTCTTCTCCTTCTTCTTCTTCTTCTTCTTCTCCTTCTCCTTCTCCTTCTTTTTCTTTTTCTCCTCCTCCTCCTCCTCCTCCTCTTCCTCCTCCTCCTCCTCCTCCTCTTCCTCCTCCTCCTCCTCCTCCTCCTCCTCCTCCTTCTTCTTCTTCTTTCTTCTTCTTTCTTCATTGGGATTCTGCTTTGAGAACCCAGCTGAGTAAGGATGGAGGGCCAGGTTAACTGCCTACTCTGTCCCTCTCTCCCCTACTCCTCTGCAACCCTTGAGATCTCTCCAGGGAACTGCTGAGGACAGTTTGGGAGAACCAGGAGGCAGCAATCATTCATTTCTCCAGGAAGCATTGTCTTAAGTATGTGGATCAGAGCGGAGACAGGATGGGCTCTTCTCTTCCCTGTCTCAGCCAGTGAGCCAGGTCTCCCCTCATATAGCCTTTAAGGGTCCAGAGTAACCTCTCAGGGTCCCTAACAGGAAACAGAAATTATATCATTCCCATTTTAATAGATCCAGAAACTGATATTCAGAGCAGTGCAGAGCCCCCATGTATAGCCTGCTTATATGCAGCTGACCCAGGATTACGACCTTGAACTCTACCCGGTCAGCAAGGGTTCATGTTGGCTGGCAGTGGCCCTCTGGATATTTTCTGGCTTGGATACGAGGCTGTGAGTAACTTGTTCAAAGAAGCAGCACTTGGGTCTCTAGCTTTGGTCTTGGATAAGTTCCCAACACTAGACTCTGGTCTTCAGGATGTGGAGCTACAATCCCCTGCCCAGAGGCCCTTGGCAAGGGAGTCACTGTCCTGTCATGGGAGCATTCTTGAGGGTCCCATGTTCACAGTGCTCCCCAGCATATCATGGGGAGACCCAGACAGACCCAGTCTCTCCCTTGAGAGCAAAGGTTTTGGTTTGAAACACCATCTTGTTTCCCTCTTTTGCTTTTGGAATTAAAACATGAAAATCCACAGGAGGTTTGCGAGTCCCCCACGGAGACCAGTTGGTGACATTTTAAAAAACACTGAATGAGCTGTTTGTCAACTGCATGTTTTGGAGCCGAGAATGGGAGAAGGGTTTGGAGAGATGCTGGCAGCCTCCAGCAGATCTTCTGCTTGTCTGCAGATGGAGGCAGAAGTCTCAGGTGGGCCCTGTCAGGGACCCCCATCCCTGCTTATGTTTATGGAGACATGTATGTCCAGCAGCACCCATTTCCTGTGTACATGGACCCCAGCAAGCTGTGTGTTGGGGTGAGAGGAATTGGTCTCACATCAAGCCCTTGGCTGACCCTATGACCAGACCATGAGCTGCAGGAACATGTCCTCGCAGGGGTTTTTACTGGGTGCACAGCCCAGCATCTCACCTATCCTCTGTTTTGGTCACTGAGAAGCTTTGTAAAGGCAGGAAGTAAGCAGAAAGAGATCAGAAGAAGAGGAAGGAAAAAAATGGGGACAAAGGAGGGAAGAATAGGGACAATTGAGACATCCATTTCTGTGGGAGGCCAGAGGGATATAGGGAGGTGGCCGAATCAGGTTGTGGCTAAGGCTCTTTGGGAAGGATGACTGGTCTTTCTTATGCGGCAGTCCAGTGTGTCCTTTAAAAATAATGGGAAGAAGCAGCAGATGAAGGGATGTTAGCACACCGTAAGGAGATCTTTTTAACACAACATCAGAGACTCCTTATAAGAGAGTGATGTGTCTGTTGTGGGGAGCATTCAAGTAAGGCAGACAGCCAATGGTCTCTACCTCTGGTATTCATGACTTTGTGTAATCCCTCACCTTGAGTCTGGGGACCTGGGACCTGTTTCTAATCTACAGAATACAGCAAAGGGACCTGATGTCCCTCTCATGATTACGTTATATTATATAAGACTCTCAGCTGATAGAAGCTAGATTCACTGGGCATATTTGAAGTCAGCAGCCCACGGGACGAAGCTGAAGAATCCCACCAGGTTAGGAATTGCAGATTGCCTCCAGGACCCAGGGGTGGCCTCTTGACTACAGCTAACAAAAAGCCAGGACCTCAGTCTAGGCAGCTGCAAGGAAGCTGCCAACAACCCAAATTTGCCTGGAAGCAGATTCTTCCCCAGTCAAGCCTCCAGATGAGAACACAGCCCAGTCAACACCACCCTGAAGCCTCATGAGACGCCAAGCAGAGGACCCAGCTGAGCCATGCCTGGACAGACACGGAAACCATGAGATAGTACATGTGTGTTGTTTTAAGCCCCTGAGTTTGTAACAACTCATGACGCAGCAATGGAAATTGTATACTGACACTGTAGATGGGTCTTTATACCCCTCTGTCTCTGTCCTCCAGCCGGGTTTTTCCAGTTATTTAATGCTGCACACCAAATCACCTCCAACTTAGTGGCTCAAGACAACAGAAACCACTTGTCACATCTCACAGTTTCTGTTGGTGGGCCTTTGAGGGTGGCCTCAGGGTGCTTCTGGCACAGGGCTCTTCGTGCAGCTGTAGTCACATGCCCGCTGGGCTGCAGGCATCCCAGGGCTCACCAGGGGCTGGAGGAGCATCATGTAGCAGTCGAGTTGGCACTGGCTGTAACTGGGGGTCCTCCAATCCCTTGCATGTGGGCTTCTCCACCGGGATGTTTACACATCCTTGTGACATGGCACCTGGCTTCTCTCCGGGCAAATGACCCAAGACAGCAAGGCAGAGTCTCTTATGACCCAACCTTGGAAGTCACACACTGCCACATCCACTGTTATTTCACTGGCCACACAGGACCAGCCGGGAGTCAGTGTAAATACCAGGAGGCAGTGGTCCTAGGGGACCATCTTGCAGGCGGACTACCACATGGCTCTTCACCTCCTCAGGCATTCCTCCTGCCTTCTCAACTCCAGGCCTTTGCAAAGACCATTTCTTCCCTCTGCCAGGTCTGGTCTCTTCCTCTGCCATGCCCTCGTGGATTTCAGCTGAGATCTGGGGTCTCCACAGGAGCCCTAGCTCTGCTGCGGGGCCCAAAGCTTATACCAGTGAAGGGGCCCTTTTTAAGATAACAAAGACAAAAATACCTTGCTTTTGCAAATTTTTCAACCACTCAGCCATTGCTAATGCCCTTCTTGGGGTCTGAGAAGCTGGCTGTGCAACCAAATGGTCTCAAATATAAGCTTCTCCGACATCACAGTAGACCCATCGCGAGGTCCTCATGTGGCTGTCACTTCCTAGGGAGCTGTCCTTAGTCCCCTAGACAGACCAGGTTCCACTGCTTGGGTCTCCCAGTGGGTCACACTTTTGATTAGACATTTAACACCTCTTTGGGCCACAAGGGACCATGTCTTATTCAAAATCCTTCTGGGCTTTCAGACACAATTCTAAATACAACTAGTCCAGGGCCAGACAAGGCCCCTGCCCTCCTGGAAGCAACATTGTTGGGGGGTGGGTAGAGAGATGTACTAAACAGGTAAACAACAAAAATTTTTCCAAAAGTAATTTCAGTTAATGATGGGTGCCATGAGGAAAGTAAATCTGGATGGTGGGAGATCGAGGAAGGCCTCTCTGAGAAGCTGCTGTTTGAGCTGAGGCCTCAATAATGAGAAGGAGCCGGGCCTGGAAAGGTCCATGGAAATAAGTTTTCCCAGCAGGGGGAACAGCAAGTGCAAATGCCCTGAGGCAAGAACAAGGGTTCAGTGTTCAGAAGTGAGCAGAGAGGCCAGTGCAGCTGACTGTAGGGATAAGGGAAAGCAAGAGGCCATAAGGATGGAGAGGCAGGTTAAGGACAGATCAGGTAGGATTTTGCAGATGGGCAAAATCTTTTAGAGCATTAAGGTAGAATTCTCACAGTAACATAACGTTAACCATTTAAAAGTACACGATTCAGTGACGTTTATCATATACACGATGTCATGCTCCCACTATAGCCATGAAGTTCTGGGTGTTGTTCTAAATCAGTGAGAAGCCCTGGGAGGGTTTGAGCGGCGTGGTCCCAGCAATTTCGCAATTGCTCATCCCCAGAGATCCTTGCTGCAACACAAGTTGTATTTCCATGAGGAATTTCCATAGGCCACACCTTCCTTCCCTTTCTCAGAGTAAGGTCTGCCCCTAGACATCTGTCTCTCTTCGCTTTTGGGCTCTTCCTTCTCCGCTCTCCGGAACAAATCAGCTGAGGGTGGGAGAATGGAAGAGAAGCCAAGGGGAGGGAGGAAGATGGGGCTTTTAATTTCCAACTTTGAGTGTCAAAAGGCAATTTCATGCCTGCTGATGTGATTAGAGCAGTGGAAATAATGGAGGCTGACAGCTAATGGGGTGCTGGCTTCAGAGGATTCCTGCGTAGTGGTTTTTTTCCCTTGCAGGGACAAGCATTTCTAGTGGTGTTTAACTTTGCACTCCACTCAGGGGGTGTGCCTCAGTGCCACGGGGCAGGGACCATCTTATTAGCAGAGATGATTATAATTTGCCATAGACCACAGCATCAGCCCTCCACCCAGCAGACTTTGATCCACTGTGCCCCCACCAGGGCTGTGTGGGGAGGACTTTGGGTTCCCTCCGTACTGTGGAGGTTAAGTGAGCAGCCTGCCCAGCTCAGAATTCCACTCTGCCACTTTCCAGCCATGTGACTGTGGGCAAGTGGTCTCTTTTCTCCATATTCGAGTCTCCTCACCAGGAAGCAGACAGGAACAACCCCTGCCCTGTAGAGATCATGTGAAGATGACATGAGGTCATGTGGGCACCCAATGGATGCTATGTCAGTATTGGCTTAAAAGGGCCAAGAAAAGTATATTTTGGAACACAAAATGCTATGGGAGATTTCGAGGCTGGAAATCTGGATGTTGATGTGAAGTGAAGAGCTTTTTGTAAATCCAGTTTGCAATTAGATCCAATTTATAGAAGAAATAAATTGTAGCCCAAACAGAACATCTGTGCCAGGCAGGAGCTGGCTCAACCTGGGACCCCGGGCCTCTGACCGCCCTCCCAGAATTGTTTCCACTCCAGCTGTAGAGTCTCCTATTCTGGATTCTTCTCCTGAGAACACCCTTACTCTCTCGGTTCTTATGAGCATCCTGCAGACACTGCTCACAGAGTGTCTACCACGTGCTAAGTGCTTAGTAGAAATAAACTCCTAAGAACCCTGTGAGGGAGGAAAGTGTGTCCCATTGTACAGATGAGCAAACTGAGGCTCGTCTCCCAGCCAGCAAGTTTCCCTGTGGGGATTTGAATTGAGGTTTTCCAGACCCCAGGAAGCAGAGCCTAACCACCACTGCCTGCTTCCTGCTGGGCACCTCTGTGGTCTCACGCCTCCCTGTATTACCTTTCAGGCTCCAGGCAGGCTGGTCCGTCCATCCCAGCGGTCAGCCCGACAGACAGAGGAAGCAGGAAGAGCTGACAGATGAGGAGAAGGAAATCATCAACAGAGTCATTGCTCGAGCTGAGAAAATGGAAGAGATGGAGCAGGAGCGAATTGGGTGAGGCCCGACACGTCCCATCCATGTGGAGAGCCCCGGAGGCCTGAGGCCCAGCAGACTGTGCTGCTGAGGGGTGTGCTGGGGTGGGGCGGACTGCCCCGGGATATTGCCCCCCCCCACCACTGCCCCCTGCCCTGCGTTCGGCAGGACTGGAATCCTTGTGGCACGAGGTGGGAGAGCTCAGGAAGGAGGAGACTGGCTGTTCACGTGCTGGGGGCAGTGGGGGGGGGGCAATATCCTGGGGCAGTCCGCCCCACCCCAGCACACCCCTCAGCAGCACAGTCTCACGTGCTGGTCCAGTGGGGGACACGACATTCTATCTCACAGGGCTGTTGTAAACAGTAGGTGCGATGATGCACGTACACGTCCCAGACCCCAGGGACACTTCATTTTCATAAATGGAAAGAAGAAGGGAAAAAGTAGAGTTTGGAGGACAGAGCTTTTCAAAATGCATATGAGAGAGAAGCAAGGGATATAAGGAGGCCATGTGACATGTGTGTCAGAAAGTGACAACATCATTGAAGAAGGCCAGGGTTAGGGAGGGAGCAGTATGTGGGTGCTCTTACAAAGGGAGGAGTGGGGGAAATGGGGATGACCATGGGGGTGGGGAGGGGGGATGAAAGGAAGATATATGTATATGGGGGGGCTCTTGGCATAGTGGTCAGGATGCCAGGCCCCTGGAGGGTTCTTCCAGACCAGGATCTCAAATGGACCCCCTCCTCCACAGCCCCCTCCGCAGGCCCCTTCTGCCTGGGGCAGCCTTTGCCAGTGGCTTACAACTGGTGTGGGCACTGAGGTGCCCGTTTAGCTCTCCACACACACTCTCAGCTGGGGTGAACGAGGATCTTGGACAGAAAGTGGAAGTTGGTGTCTTTGGTCTGAGCCTCTGCAGATCATTTTACCCAGGGTGGGATGGGGACTGCTGCTGACAGATGACAGACACCTGCTACAGCCGGTGTCAGCATCACCCTCCACCCTCCGTCTGCTTATGCCGGAGGCTGCTGAAGGGATAGGTCTGCAGGGGCGTGCTTGTGGGCTTGCATTCTTATTTTGCTTTTTAAAAGATATGCCAAGAGTGGGGAGTTCTGCAGGCAGGAGGTCTGTGAGTGTGAGTGAGTGTATGAGTGTGTGTGTGTGTGTGTTTGTGTGTGTGTGTTCACTTCACCCAACAATGGACCTCAGCCTTGTGAAGTGAGGGATACGGGTAATAAGAGTAAAAGCTTAAAAGCAAAACTCCTCTTAGCCCTTTTCTGCCATAGCAATTACCACCAGAAAACATCGTTCCTATTTTGCATAATTAGTTTGACTATTGTATATCTCCCTGTCAGATTGTAAGATTACCGAGGGTAGAGGGATTTTTTTTTTTGTTTTTTTTTGTTTTTTGGTTTTTTGCCTGTTTGGTTCATTGGTGAATTCTGAGTCTACAACATAGTAGGGGTGCTGAAAAATAATTTGTTCAGCGAGTGAGTGAACATGGCAGACCATGCTGCCCCCAATTACTTTAGACATAATATGCCCTGTGGCCAAGAGGGTGCCAGTTCCCAGGGAAGGCGCTGTGATTGGCTGGCTTATGTCAGGGGCTGTCTCTCATCCAATCAACTGTGGCTGGGGGTACAGCCATGTTGTACAAACAGGGCACGTGTGCTTCCTCTGGGGGGAAAGTTATGGTGGTCCCTCTGGGCAGAGCTTGAGCCTTCTAGAACAGGATAGATGGGTTCCCTACCTTGTCCTCTGTGTCTTATCATATCACCCCAACTAACTTGAGGGTGTGGTAGAATATTCTAGCACAGTGGTTAATTCCTGGGACCCCTGAGTCAGAGATACCTAGGTTCAAATTCCAGCAATCCCCACATCCCCTCTATGTGACCTTAGGTAAGCCACTTTAACCTCTCCATACCTCAGTTTCCTCATCTGTAAAATGGGGACAATGTTAGCACCTAACTCTTAGTGAGTGTTTAATTAGGGTGCGAAGGGTTATCGTAGTGCCTGGCATAGCCCCACGCTCCATAAAGGGTGGCGGTCCTTTAAAGATGAATTTGTTCAGGAAGCTCAGTTTTTTACCCTGACCAAGGCCTCCATTCTAGAATTATGCCCCGAGACTCCTGTTTGGCAAGCCCTGGAATTCCAGCAGCCCTGGCCTCTCTAAAGGGAATTTGAGAGGCTTCCAGGAAGGCCGAGGCCAAGCCCTTTGATGACAGAGTGTTCCTTTGCTGAGATGGTATGCTTTCTGCCAGAGTGGGGGAGGACAGTGCTTTGGGATTCTGGCTGTGGCTCTTCTCCTGCACTGTTCCAGCAGCCGGTGCCTGCTGGTAGCATTGCCAGAGGCAAGCCCAATGTGGTTTGTGTCTTACGATCTCAAACCTGCCCTCATTCCTGTTCCCTCCGTGCTTCCCTGGGAAGAGATCAGAGCAGAGTCAGATAAAAGCAAGATGACACATCAGACGCAGAACAAGGCTCAGAACGGGGTGCCATCGGGGCTCCCACTTCCGAACCTGGGGCTCTCAGTCAGTGACCCTTTGGGACCTCAGTCCCGCTCCCCTCCATCTAATAAGGAAGTCAGGCTGATTCTCAGGATCCTGAGAATAGCTGGGTGTGTCTGATAGAGGACCCTGCACCATGCATTGGCTGGCCCTCCCAGAGCTAATGAGCTCCTTCTAACTGTTAAAATTGCAGATGTATCTGAGAATCTTTCCGGGTTCACACCAGCTCTGTAATGTGGAAGCTTCTTTCCTATTAACTGAGGGAAAGCCAACACATAAATGATCATCATCATACTAGGTACCATTTACTGAGCATTTACTATGTGCCAAACACTGAATCTAAAACTTCCTATGGATTAACTCTTTAACTGCTCCTCTCAACCTTGTTGAGTAGGTGCTACTATTGTCCTCCTTTTGCAGGTGAGGAAACAGGGTCAGAGAGGTGACTGGCCCAAGGTCACTTGCCCAAGGTCACATAGAGCCAAGGTATACAGTCCTGTCTGGCTGACCTCCAGCATTTTGCTTTTAATTCTTAGGTGTCTTTCCTAAAATCCTGGCCCCAAGTTCTTAGACTCTGAGGAACATGGAAATTTTATAAGCTCAGGTGTGGAGGGGGACACTGTGTGACTAGAAGCTGGAGCCCTTTGGGGGCTGGCCTAGTGGTTTCTTCGAGTTCTCGTTCACTGGTTTGAACCTCTAGATCTGCCGGTACTGCATGTTCCCGTGGCTCTCAGAGACCTGGGGAAGAATTGCCGTCAGGCCTCCCAGAAGGCCCTCCCTCCCTGGGGCACTTTGGCTAGAGCTGGCCACCCCAGGGAACCCCAGGCAAGCATCAGGCAAGAGCTACGTCTCTCCCGGAAGCCTCTTTGCTTCTGACCTGCGGGGATAGGGAGGTGTGGGGGAGGGGGGGTGGGAAGCAGGGGAGGGGTGTCCAAACCTTGCTTCACTGCTCAGCCTACAACCCAGCTCTGCTCTCTTCAGCATCCCTGCAGGGAGAGATGATGGCCAGCAGGGAAACTCATTAAACAGCCTCCTTTTGCCCCCACATTCCTTACTGAGGTGCTGAGTGGGATAGCAGAGTTTATTTTTCACACCCCGAATGCTCTTTGCAGGAAAGGAAATGAATTCCAGGGAGATTGCTTGAGTCATCTCTTGTTCTATAACTGTTCTATAACAGTCACCTGGAACTTAGGGACTCAAAGCAACAGCAGTTGTGCTGTCTCATGATCCTGTGGGTTGAGCACTCGGACAGGGCTCTGCTGGGTGGGTTTTCTGCTCCATGCGGCGTGGGCTGGGGTCACTCGGCTGTATTCAGCTGGTGGCTGGGCTGCACTGGGAGGGCCATAAAAGCTCAGCTCCTATGTCTGTGCTTTGGTGCTCTCTTTGTGGCCCAGCCTTTCTGTAGGATCTCTGCCCTTTCCGTAATCTGGCCTGAGCTTTACATGGCAGCGGGATCCCAAGAGAGCAAAGATGGAAGTTGCTAGGATTCTTAGCAGCTGGGTCTGGAACCGGTGGGGCGTCACCCCTCCACGTTCTCTTTGAGAGGGGAAATAGGTCCCTCCTCCTTCTGGAAGAATGACTTAGGCCCCCAGGGAAGGATGGCGTTAATGGTGGCCATCTTTGGAGACTCTACCACCTTATGCAAAAAGGCGAGTTTAATATAAGGATTGGGAGCTATCTCAGGGGACCCAGGGGCAGGAACACAGCCTGGCCTCAGGAAAGTTTCTTTTCTCCCCGCTTGGTTTTTATAGCCTCACTCCCCATTCCCAGGGAAGGAAGTCCGATTGGGTCACCCATCTCTCATACCAGGGGTGCCAGGTCACACCGGCGTGGCTGCCAAGGGTGAGAAGGACGTTTGTGAGTTGGACAGACACCCATAGGGTGTCCACCGGACTTTTCAATGTATTGACTCTGCAGTTAAACATTTGCCTAGGAAAATCTGTTGGTGGTTTTGTTTTGTTTTTACCAACTGGCAGGCCCCTCTGCGTCCTTACATTTCTTTCTGTCCAGAGCCTCTCAAAGGCATTGGCTCACATACCCTGCCTGTGCCAAGGGATGGGTAGCTGGGTGGCTTCCATCTGAGGTCATTTTCCCTAAACAGATGGGCCCCAAAAAGTAATTAGGATTTGTCATTAACCTTGGTGTCCAGACGCTGTGATGGAGGAGGAAGGCAGAGAGACACGGGGAGACCTGTGGTTGACGGACTCTGTGGGATTCTGTCACTTCCCCATCTCAGTTCCATCATCTCCTATGTTTTTGGCACAGAATTTTTCCAAAATGTGGACAGAGGGAGAAGTGAGTAATAAGACGTGTAACCTTGGTACATTGATTTAGGTTGATACGCTGACAGTAAGCCAGATCATGCTCTCCTCTTTCAAAAGGAAGACCACCCACCACACTGTGGCCTTTTTTTTTTTACCTGGAGTCCTAAGTGTTCTGTAAATAGGATTCAGGGGTTCGTAAGCATTTGTGCATGTGTCTGTGTGTATTTTTTGAGAAGAAATATAATAGATTTCACCA